TAAACCACAAAAAGAAGTTCCCCGCACATTTCTGGCAGCTCCAGTAACCTCTCACATCCTTATTTTGGTCTGTCAGACAGTTCCCCTGGTTCCCCTGCCAGTTTACTGTCAGCTGATAAAAGGAACATGCTGCTTTTATTTCAAACAATTCATAGTGATGGACTTTATTTTTGTTATGTAATCTGGTGCTTTCTGAGGATAAATTTTACCCAGCCTTGTTTGAAGCACTACACAATGTGGTAAAACCTACACTAACTCAAACAGATTAGCAGGGATTGTTCCCTGCAGATTATTTAATTTCCCACATGCAACAACAAACCATCTGTTCACTTGAGATGATTAATCAGCAGAATTCAACGAGGTCAGGCTACGAGCAAATAAATGAATTAATAAGTTATTTAGCCTTAAAAATACCTTAGAAACAAATTTAGGTGAAAAATGGTGGAATAATGACTAAATTATTAAATTAAATTATTTGACCTGGAAGACTGAATAATTAACTGAATTTTAGATAGTTTTATATTCTACACTTTCTGATCAACTGCAGTAATTTGACAGAGGGAGAGTCAGCAGGTTTCTGTCAATGTGTCCCTCTTCAGTATAAACAACAATTGTTTGGAGGACGTTGTATCAGTGCTGAGGTAAAAGCTCCCGCCCCCACCAGGGTGTGACCAGGGTGTTCTGTCAGGATCCACTACAGACTGGAGAAGAGAGGCAGACACAGGGCTGCTGCTGCTGCTGAGACGGCCTGCTTTGATTCTGATAAAACTTGTGGTCAAACAGGTGATGGAGACAAAGGCTGGAGATACAGATCTGAAGAATGAATATTTTTAGAAGAGAATCAACTTTGTTATACTGACTTCCTATTTTTGATCATGTTTTCTATAAACCTAATCCAGCTCTGTAGTAAATCTGCCTCCTTATTCTGATCAAATCAGCCTTTTCCCTTTATTTCTCAGTTTTTGTTCTATGTAAAAATATGGGTCTATTTCTGTTCTAAATGTGATTTCACTAGCTGCGTTTACGTTACAAATGTGCACAAAACTTTGTCGATATTCTGTCAATGTTGGAAAAACACAGTTTCACAACTGCAGTGTTTCCATTAAGTAAGAAATGTTATTAAAGTCACGTGAATACGTTTGTTCTCATGATAAGTCATTACAAACATGGCAGCGATGGATGTAAACACATAGCATGTTGCTACCACGACACTAGCGCTCATSATCAGAGGAGACGTCGGCGTCTTTTATCGAGGCTTCCCAGAGACAAGTCCCTACTTGGGAGCGGCTACGTATGCTGTGTTTTTGGGAAATTGTAGTCGCTGAGTTTACTATTTTATACTACTTCTGTGATATTACTACTACTTCTACTTCCTGTTATCTTCTTCATCATCGTCTTTTTCACCAGTAGAAACAGACGGTTGTTGATCACGTGACTCCTGTGATGTGAAAAAAGTGTTTCCATTGCAGTTTTGTGAAAAACACCAATTTAGATACGACTGAAAAACCACCTCATCCTAGYGCAAAAACATTTTGTCGAAAAATGTAATTTTTTTCTAAATTGACGTGTTTCCATTGAGCAAATTTATTTTCTAAATTCAAATTTGCACATTTTCATGGTCAATGGAAACACAGCTAGGGTCAAATGGAAATCCTCTTTTGATGGTCGAGCACCGTCTTATTGAGCTCATTATTTTTTTTTTATGTTTTGAAAATTTTATGTCTCAAGGTTAATTTTGATGCCTGGGTTTTGTTTTGGGATTGAATTGAAAAGTTGCATTGAGAATAAAAAGGAACAGATTTTCTTTTATAAAAACAAAAAGACACTAAATAAACTGTATTTGGATGAACAACGTGTCTTTGGATAGGCTGTTTTATGCTTGGAAATATGCTGATATTAAAATTAGTGCTGATCAGATTCCAACACAGAGTCAGGATATTTTCCAGAATTTGGATTAAAAACATTTTTTCCTCACACTGCCAGATGATCATCAGCTACTGTCCGAAGGTAAAAATAAATTTATACATAAAAAAAGTGTTTTGGTAAGTTTGCTTCCATCAATGCAAGTGATCTGGTTATTAAATGAAATTATTTAACAACTAATAAAAATTTTTAAACTAAGTTTTAATTGATATTCTTTGCATTTTGATTTATATACTAGTTTTGATGCATTGACAGTTAGAGGTTTTTGCCAGAACCTAATCACATTGATAAGGTAAAACTTTTATTATTTTTCTTTTTCTTTTCTTTTTTGTAATCTGTAGACAACTTTTGATATAATTTTTTCTTTTAGAAAAGGGGCAGATATAAGAACTTTTCTTCTTCTGCTGCCTTTCATTTAAATTGTGATTTGTATTTTTTTGTTTATTGTTGAATTTACGTTGTTTTTAAAGAAATGAAAGAAATGACCAAACCAAACCAAACCAAACCAAACCAAACTAAACTAAACTAAAACTAAACTAAACTAAACCAAACCAAACCAAACTAAACTAAACTAAACTAAACTAAACTAAACTCTAAACTAAACTAAACTAAACTAAACCAAACCAAACTATAAACTAAACTAAACTAAACTAAACCAAACTAAACTATAAACTAAACTAAACTAAAAACTAAACCAAACCAAACTATAAACTAAACTAAACTAAACTAAACCAAACTAAACCAAACCAAACTAAACTATAAACTAAACTCTAAACTAAAC